ACTTCGTAATTTTGGTCAAATATGGTAAAATAACAATTAAGTAAATTGTTACTTAATAATTTTCTTTTTTTGAGAAATGTATAACTTTGTTTGTTTTTAAACTTGTATTATAACACTTGTAAACTCTTTTTATTTCACACTAAGACAGCTTAAGCATATTTTCATTACTGATTGATGTAATGATTTTGTTGTTTTATTCTTTTTTATTGTTATTTTTAACACTAGAAGCGCCATTGGGATCACTTTGATTGTTTTTTGCCATTGTGTTATTTTTGAACATACACGTGAGTTACAAAGGTCATATTTGTTGATTTAACCGAAATTGTTCCTAAGTATACAATATCAAAATTTCATGTCTTTCTGTTGATTAGTAAAATAAATATTTATGGAAATACCTAAAACATCCATAAAGGGTCATTTTGACCCCAACCCTATAAGAAAAACGTTCTTTTAAGAAGTTGTATGTCTGTTTTGGATTTTACAGATTCGCAAACATTATGAAGATGAATTGTAGAACAGAAATTTAGGTACACTGAGTTAAAAAAAATGTCACGCGAAGCAGCTTTCGTGAAATTATATTGTATCTTGGATTCGATTAAAAAAAGCAGCTTAGTTTAGTAAGCTACTTCGCTCATTTTGAGTAATAATTTCGTTATTGCTTCTAAAAGAAAAAAAACATGTACGAACTGATTATAAGTGGTTAATTTGTTATAATCTTGGTATTGTAGGGGAACAATTATTGTCATGTAAATAATAATGACAATTTATTGTATGACGTATGAGCCATATAGCTTTGATTTCAACTGAGATATGTATAATGTGTGAAGTTTAATGTATAATATTTATATTCGCGTCGTTTATTTATTTTTGTTATAATTGCACTCTTATGAAAGAATAATATGCAATATAATATTACATTATAATGTAATATTGTAATTGCGTTAGTAAAACGAAAAACATTTTTTAAATCTCTAATAGTTCTTACATATTGTATTTTTAATAATATTCATTATTTAGAACTTCATTTATTTTGGAAACACACAAATTTTTTCTGAGAGTCAAATTGACCCGAAATGGCGGCTTTATTTAAGACCAAAATCTGGCTGTTCTTGTGTTAAAAGAATTGAATCTTTTTTTTTCTTCTATTAGTTCTAGTTTTATTTATATGATGAAGAATACAATTCGCAGTTTTTCCGTAACTATAAAGGACGTAGTTTATCAAAATGGTCTGATTTAAGGAAAATACTGCACCTTAAAACCCTACATTTTTTAACATTTCCTTTATAAAGTTTCAGAAGCAAAGAAAATACAAAGAAACCGTAGCATATTTAACAGTGTAATTTCAGATAACATGCATCGCAATGCAATAATATAATTCTTATTCATATCACTTATCCAAATAACAACCGCTATAGCATAAAATGTACGGAAATTCATATTTTTAAAAAGCATTTAGGACAGTTAAAAATAAGTTATCAATAGATGGATGGACAATGATCTTAACTTCTACTTTAACCATGACGTCAATGACTCACGACTAAAAATTTTCAGACCTTTTTAATACAAATAATGGAAGCGATTTTCTCATATCCGCATGGTTGACACAAAATTGGGTGTTTGCTGAAGCGATATGCTAAAAAAAATAAAAACTGAGAAATTGGTTTCTATTATTAGTCTTTAAATTACGATCGATGAATCTATCGAAAACGGTGACTTTGAATTGGGATTAAGCTTCTAAATATTGAGAAAAATATTTATTTTAAATACATCTGTATTTTTATATACATTTTTTAATGCTTATAAAAACTGGGTTTGGTTTTAAAACAATGAAATTAACCTGTTATTCATTTTTACATCTGTTTGTGTATTTAAAATAAAATAATTTCTCTGGTTTTCGAAATCAGATTACGTAACTTTATCAATAGTTTATAAATAATTTACCCGATACAAAGCTGAACGATCACTGATTTTTTTTCCTTCTTGTAAATTAGTTTTTTAAAAATACATATTGTGTTATTTTAAATTTATATAATGGCTTTTATTTAAAATTCGTAAAATTAAATACTTCGTATTTTAATTTGAATCTCGTATTTAAAGTTGTTCTCGCGTTATTATTAAAACACATTCTGATAATGATTAAGAAAATACCTTGGGTCCAATTATATGTGTGTAATAAAAGGGCAAGGTGTTTCATACATTTATTTATATGACCACTAATGCCTGATTATGATGGTTAACATGTTTTAAATTTTTATATGAATATTAATACTCTGCGTGTTAAAAAAAAATTCACATGATTGACAAGACCAACGCTGTTTAACTGCCTTTATAAAATGGACTAGGGCAATGATTGGAATTATAAATATAATCAAGCACTGAAAGATCTAAATTTTACAGGAAGTAAATTTGTTTTCTTTCTAGCACAATGGATGAATTGTTTTATTAAATTGTAAATCTTTGGTTTCTAAATTAATTACAAATCGACTTTAGTTTCAAATAGATAAATGTTTATGAAATTGAATGAAATTATATTTTTTAATGCAGGACAAAATGCACCAGTTCAAATATTTAAAATTTTCTCCATATGATTAATAATTTCTTTTAAAAAAAAAGTAGAAGGCATTGCTCCTTGCTCTTTTTGCTCGTCTACCCTTATAGTTGGTGTAAACTCCCGGCACTGCTGTTAAAACTCCGTAGTTGTATTTCAGCGGGCTACAGATTGATTAAACATGAACTTTGAATTTTTTCCCAACAAGTTAAATTGTAATTATTCTCTAACTAATTGTCGGATCTTAATTTATTTTTTAATCCATCGTACTCTCTATACTTTTTACTGCACAATTTCGTAATTTTAAGTTTCTAAGTTTTGTATATTTTGAGCAGCAAAAAAGAAGAGAGAGAGAAATATTTTTGGAATAGCACTTAAAATTGCAATAATTTTCGAATAAATTGGAATCTCAAAAAAAAGGAAGCTCTGTGTGTTAAGTTTATAAATATGTAAAACTAATTTCTTAAAATTGAGGGCTGGAAGTGAAAATGTTTTTTTTTCAAAACAAAACCGATTGCTTTCTTTCCCTGGAATCTATAAAGAAAATCTCTTTTAAAAAGTATGGGAATCGAAAAGAACTGGAAAAAATTTATAACAAATGATATAGATTTTTCCTCGATATAAATATAAATAATACTATTATGCTATACATTATTAATTGTACTTATTTTTATGTTATGCATTAATAATCATGCTTGTTATTATGTTATGCATTATTAATTATGCTTATTATTATGTGATGCATTATTAATTATGCTTATTATTATGTTATGCATTATTAATAATGGAATTTATTTGTCTAAATTTTTCATATTTAATTTGACATTATTATTATATATGTTACTCTATTTTTATATAACTCTTATTTCCGCTTTAATATAAATTGAAAAATTGCATGAATTGTTTGGTTTTAATGATGAAAATAAACTGAAAATGAGCTTACGCACATTTTTTCGAAAACTTTTTCAGATATTGAAAATATCGTTGTTGAAATCTGCACTTTAAGCCGTAAAAGAACAATTCTTACAAATGTTTCATTCTATCTTTTTACTTTTATGCCCAGCATAAATACGTAAATTGAAACTGAGTTCTATTTGTGATACTAAGTGAAATCTTTTTCTTTGTAAGCTCTTTGTTTTAAATGCCTTTCATAGCTTTTGTCGGATTTGCTTACATCAATTTTTTGTTGACATTCTTTCTTTTTTGAAAACTTTCCTCTCTTTACATCTGTTATTGGATACATTCTAAGATCCATCCAATTTTCGCAGTGCTTTTTTTTCCCTCACTCCATTTATTTTTACAAGATTTCAAACTGAATCGCTTTCAGAAGTTTATGTTTTCTCAGTTTAGATTTACGAACTAGGAAAATTTAAGTATATTTTTTCCTCTATGGAAATAACTTTTATTTCTTACATTTCAATTTTACCCTTCATCAAATTTTGATTTTTTATTACATTATTTTTCCTTTACTTTGAAGGAATAAATTTTATCTTTTACATTTTATAACTCTTCAAAGCCGTTGCCAACTTAATTCGTTTTGTGAACTATTGTAAACGTGTATTCATTTTGTTTTTAATAAACGTCCGTTTTTAATAGCTTTAAAGATGTTTTTCTATTTTCACTAAATACGATATATTTATTTCCATTATTCAGTTTTAATTTCAATATTTCAGTTTCAAATTTAACTTATAGATTTGAGTTATTACAATTAAACTGTTTATACAAAACGGTATATGTAATACTGTATAATAAAATATTCATTGTTTTTAGGCATGGAAGCTTGTTATGAATTATGAAAACTTATCATAAAATAAATATATAGTGATATTTTAACTAAAGTTTGTAATATATTTTCTTTCCAATTTCAAGTAGTTTTCTTATTAGTACGTATAAATTATATAACGTCAAGTTGGCTTTAAAAAAAAAACAAAAGCCTGGAATTTTGTCTTCTTAGAGTCATGAAAATAGAAAGTCCTGTGGCAAGTTAGTTAAAAGCCATAAGACTTCAAATAAATGTATTAAATATCAATTTATTGCTTTTTTTTAAAAAAAAAACTTCTTTCACTTCGAAAACATACGAATTGTGAATAACAGTCAACATCTTTCAAGCACTCAAAAATACGTGCCCACTTACCAAACCAGCTAGATGCGAATGAAAAGAAACAAAATTAAACATAAACTTATGAAAAATAAATGAACTTCATTTGATAAATAAAACATAGGCTTTTATTCTTATAAACATCTCCCAAGTCTTGAAAAAATTTTTTTGAGCGCTTGAAACATGAAGTCTATTATTTCCGAATTGCATGTTTTTGATGGGATGTAAGTTTTTTAACAAGTAATATCTTTCCACCTCAGCTTCTAGAGATTATTTGCTTAAATATTATTTTAGTTTAATTTTATTGTTTTAATGTACAAATAAAAGTAAAATTTCTTTCCTTTCTATTTTCAGTTACGGAAAAAGAAGTTCGGCAGTGGTGAGTAGTTTTTCAGTTTTTTTTCCAACTTTAATTAAGGACAACTCTCATTTCGGAATGTATTTTACATTCATACTCTGAGTCAAGTGAATGAGCGCTCAGGGAACCTGAGTGCGAAATCAACGGTTGCGGGTTCGAATGCCACTCTCTTTCCCTCTGTGTTTACACCTTTAGTTGTATGGATGTAACCCACCTTACGAACGGGTATATGTAGCAGTGTGGCATGTATAATGTTGTTCACCTGTGTGATTCAGGCTCATAGATGCCCGAAGGGTAACGTTAAGGGATCAAGATTTTGCCGTTGGAATAAAGCAAAAATAAAAACCCATAGAGTTTCTCTAAGTAATTGCATATAAAACTTTTATTATTACTTCTTTATGGCTTTCGATAATTTATCAGTGAAATATACTAAGTCAGTAATTGAAGTAAGTGTTTAATGTTTGACATGCAGCTATCAGTTAAGATTTGGGATACAATCTATTGCAAGTAAGGTAAAAAATTACATTATTTCTGACTATTATCAAAACTTTAAGCAGAAATGTTTGCATTTAGTTGAAAGAATTATAATTATTATTTGAACATTGAACTTTCTTTAATTTATTTATTTATTTTAATTGGCATTTACATTAATCTCAAATTCTGTAAACTATTATTTATGAAAATAACTTTTTTTGTTTTTAAATATACTTCTCTTGTTCCGAAACGTGCCTATATAATAACAATTATAATGTAAGAAAGACAATAAGTTTTTTTCTAATTTTATGACCTATATGTTTTTAACAACTGTAAACTGTATTTCAATCAATACATAAAAGCATAAAAGTATGACGCCCTTGATCATTTAAATGTTTTATAGGTGATGATTTTTGTGAGTCTGTCATGAATTATCATCATGAGGTATATTTTTTTTTCCTTCATCAATATTTTTTAGATTATCCGAAATGTTCGATATGACATTTATTTTATTTTATATCATCTGGTATCGAATTCGGAACATTTGTGCCCATACCTTAATGCTTTGACCACCGTGTAATAGAGTGCAAATTACCGAAATGAGTTAAGAAACTTTATATAAAACATTTAACAATTACAAATTAAAGTTGAACTTTACTAATTTCGCTGACGTTTGTTGCAATTACAGACATTGAGGTTTTTTCTCCAAGAACTGATCTGGCCGTAAAAATTAACAAACATTTCTAATAAATGTTTTGAGGTTTGTTACTATTATGGGTAATGGTTATTTTTCTTGAAGAAGAAAATTATTACTTTAAATTATCACATAACACTCCGAATTTCAAACAAAATTTCCAAGAGGGTAATCTAATTTATGTTCCACACTTATAATTACTGATAGTAACTTATAGCATAACTATTACTTAAGCTCTATTACAAAAATATTAGTTCTTATATTATTCGACAATGATTCATGCTATTAAGAGTTATTTGTAAAAAAAAAAATTTCCTCAAATATCTGATTCAGTTAGTATCATTTAATATTTATGTTTTATTCTAATTTAATCTTCCTTTTTAAGCAAACTCAATTTTTAGATTTCAAAACCATATCATCAATATATTAACTAGGTTGTTCATATTTGGCTCAAAAGGAAATTTCAAATATGTCTCATAAATCAATCACAGACGGAAACAGATTTCAAGATTTGTTTAATATTTTTAAAGAAAGGCAGACTGATGAAACCTTTATGGTAATTTTTAAATTCAATTAAATTATCTCTGAGCTTCAGGAACTGTAAAGAAACTTTCTTTTTCTACCAACATTATTAAAAGGGGAGATTATGTTTACATAAATATATAATTGAAGCTTATTATTAAATTTGAATTAAAATGATATTTTGGGAAAGTGATTTTTCTACCTTGTTGAATATCATGGCTTTATAGCTATCCACCGACCTTATAATGAATCTAATGTAATTTTTTATCTTATACATTTCGCGTAATATTTCTTTTACTTTTCTTAAATTTAAATTTTAAATAGACATAGTTAAAAATCTTTTGTAGTCTCTTATTACTGTCTAGCAAAATAGTATCAAAATTACTTGTACTTAAATTTTTTGAAGGATATTGTTTGCGTCTTTCATGATTTTTATCATAAAAAAGGAATATTTTACAAAATGTATTATAGATTTATAAAAACAAGAAAAATTGAAATTATTGCAATCGTTATGATTTAAACTGATGATATTATACTAAGACCAACTTCAAAATAATTTAATTAAAAATAATAATACAAAAATCAGAGAAAAAAAAAAGAGTAAAATTATTACTGAAATCTAGGCAAAAATTGATAAAAAAAAATATCTGTGTTTATCTATGTTACAGGACTTTATAGACCGCGTCACATTAGGATATTAAATACTGTACATATATTTTAAATATAATATCATAAATTGATTGTGTGAATAGAATGATATCTGAATGCATTCAAAAGTGATCCATACAGGGTTCGATTACTTAACGTTTGAGTTTCGTCACTTTCTTATGTACTTGTTTGATCGAGAAATAAACACAGATGTAATAAATCACATGTTTTTCTTCTTTATCATGATGAGTCTTCGTATCCAGATACCAGTATATCAAATACAGACATTATCTGAAGCGATGAATACATAGGATGAGTACTGGAGGAGATAGACATATTTTTCAGACATTAAAACCAACTTTTGCTAAAATATAACAAAATAAAACAGTATAAAAATATAACAATATATGTATATATATATATGTATATATCAACTGAAGCACTGAATCAAATTAGTTCTGTTAAAGATCTAATNTACTTATATATATATATATTATTTGAATCATTTATTCAAGAATTTTCTCGAAATACCTTATTTCTGTTGTCGGACCAAGGACAGTAATTTTCCACATTTGGTGATGCGATGTGCGTCACAGTAATATAAAAACTTCTTTGGTTTAGACTAGCAGTGTTCACTTAATTCCAGTTTAATATTTATCATCTCCTCCTAAGCTGTTCTTCTAAAAGTATCATGTCATAAACAGCTGTCTAATTCCTGGTTGTAAGCGATTTACAGACATGTAAAAATATATTTTGATTCCTTCCTGATCTTAATCCTTCAGACATCTAATTGAACTTTTTGTACGTCATCATAAGTCTATAAATGGAAAGGATTTTAAAGTGATGGATTAAAATCAATGGATACCTTCTTTACGATTCCGCGTTGCCCTATAATTGTTTTTATGATTTTTTTCTACAGTAACTCTCTTGATTTTTCTTTCGAATATTTCAAGTTGGTATACTTTCATAAGTAATTTTCCCTTTTCTTTACCACTCTGTTGCTAATTAATATATCAAATGGAAATTGAGGGAGATAGCCCATCCTTCTCACAGGCCTGCATGACCCAGAGTGAATTAGTTGAAGTTTTGAGAAAAACTTGATTATTTGAACATTTTTTTATGATTCGTTTATAAAAATTGATGGAGGAAAAAATAATTAATTTTTAATAAATACTCAATAAGTTAATTACTTATTAAATGAGTTATCAATAATAAATTAATTCATGTTCAGCTTCTTAGTGTATAAATACAAAAATATTAAATTATTTGAAAAAACTAACAGCCTGTAGAACAGGAACTAACAATATGCATTTTATTGTAATTAGTTAATTTGTTTATAACTATTTAATTTCACCGATAATATAAATTAAGCTTTCAGAACAGAATTTCATTAAAATTATAAAGTTTTCACCATTTTAATACTGATTGTAGGCACATTGCATAATTAATTGCAATTTTTTTCACAGAAATGGTTCTGATTTAGCTGATAAATTGCGTATACAAAACGTTAAAAAAATTAAATTGCATTGTGGCACTGATTGCATATTTTCTGACATTATTTCTCGGATATAACAATTTTTTTAAAAATATTAACTTTATCAAATTGAGAAATAATATTTTCTGATTATAAGGCTATGAGATACTGTAAACGTAAAAATAGTAAAAAAAAAAAAACGAAATTAATTACGATACGAAATGAAATAAAAAATTTATAATATAATAAAAAGAAATTATAATACAATTATAATATAATAAAAAGGTCTTTGAAAAGTTTGATCAATCACCAAAGACATAAAAAAGAATCTCTGTTCTGGAAAATCACTTGTACAAATTATAGAAAAAAATATATATCATAACAATATATATCACAACAATATGAAACAACATATTAATATTAATATATTTGTAATTTTGAGGACTTTTCTCTTGGACTATAATATATTTTTAGTATAGTTGCATATCAAAGTGTGGTATGAATCTATTTCATAATATAAATCTAGTACTATGCTTAACAATTACAAAAGATAGTGAATTCATTGCAATCTGTTATATATTTTATAGCCTTTGCTGAACTATATATTCTGAACTATATCCGTTGTTGACCTAATTTTTGGTTTACGACCAAAAATGATCAACTCCCTAACCTTGCAATTTTGAACCCAATCCAGAAAACAAGGGAACTCCTGGATCGAGTATTGGGAGAAATTTGCCTTCGTGGAGAACTTTTTGATGGAGCTAATCCGCATTTGCGTTACATGGAGAGGAAGACCAGGAGAACCTCCCACGGTTAGCCTGACGGCAAGGGGACTCTAACCCCTGATCCGTATACAACTGAGGATATTTCACGTCAACACTGTGGTCGGTGCAAGCCGGGTGCGGAATTCGTATCGACTGGGATTCAAACCCGGTTCGCTTCATTGGAAGGTGAACGCTCTATCTCCATAACCATTGCGGGTCAAGAAGTATAAATACTACATAACACACTTGGAGCTTAACTGTTAACGCTTTTAAGTTCAGAGGGATTATAAGATAAAGAACTGTATTCTGTTTCTAGAGGCCATTACAGATCTATATTAGCATATTAGATATTTATTACCACAATGCTAGTATTACATATTACCGCAATTAATTACAATATCGCTGTAAATGACAATAATATTTTGACGATTTCTTTTTCAATTTT